AGAAAGGCCCAAAAAAGTGAAACCATGTCAAAAAGTTCTTGCTTCATGCTCCCTATGGGACAATCCTTCCAACCCAGCGACAACAGACAAACACAAGTATAGGAAAAATGCTAAACATGCTTCAAGGGAAGGCCATAGCTGAGAAAAACCTTGTCCAACCTCCCCCTGAGAGCCCATGGTTTCCCCATCAACAACAAGTAGATAAATAGATACAACACCACTGGTCAAGAGACAACCCTTTCATCCCTGTAACAATGGAGGAAGAGGAAGGTTACATAGAAAATAATGAAATAAGATGGAAAACACAACGTACAAAGGGGAAAACCATGATTTTCTGAAGATACTTGGCGCCTAGATTGGCTGAAGAGCACGCGCTTCCACCCCATCAACAAATAGATAAACAGATGCCAAGCCGGAGAAGGAGAAGTGAGAGAAGTGAAGGAAGCGGGGGGGCACTAAAGCCCAACCTTCTGAAAAGAGCCTGAGCCAGCCCTCCCACCCGTGCATGATAAGATCTGATGACAGAGAGCCAGAAACGGTTAAGCTTTTGCCTCACTCCTCCTGAAGGGACAGCCCTTCCACCGGCAACAGCAAACAAGCACACAAGATGACAACCATTCCACCCCATCAACAACAGACAACTACATACCCGTTCACACAAATTACAATAAGCGGAGATATTGAAGACAACCGAAGAAGTGAAAACAATGTCAAAGAGCTCTTGTTTCATGCTCTTAAATGGACAACCCTTCCACCCCAGCAACAGCAGACAAACACGTGTAAAGGAAGGCCAAAAGCGAGACCATAGCCGAGGGAACCTTACCCAACCTCCCCTGCTCAAAGTAATGCCATAGTTTTAGTTGAGAGAGCTTTGCCGGACCTCCCCTCAAGAGCTAACCAACACTCTCACCCAAATGAAATAAATAGGAGATAGTGAAAGACACGCACAGAAGTGAAACCAATGCCAAAGAGCTCTTGCTTCATGCTCTTAATGGGACAACCCTTCCACCCCAGCAACAAACGACAAACACATGTAAAGGAAGGCCAAAAGTAAGACCATAGCCGAGGGAATCTTGCCCAACCTCCCCTGCTCAAAGTAATGTCAAAGTTTAACTTGAGAGAGCTTTGCCGGACCTCCCTTCAAGAGCCAAGCCTTCCACCCAAATGCAATCAATAGGAGAAAGAGACAGAGAAAGAGAAAGACAACAAAGAAGTGAACACAATGTCAATGAGCTCTTGCTTCATGCTCCCTTTGGAACAACCTTTCCAAAAAGATAGACAGATACAACACCACTGGTCAAGAGACAACCCTGTCATCCCTGTAAGAATAGGGGCACTAAAGCCCAACCTTCTGAAAAGAGCCTGAGCCAGCCCTCCCACCCGTGCATGATAAGATCTGATGACAGAGAGCCAGAAACGGTTAAGCTTTTGCCTCACTCCTCCTGAAGGGACAGCCCTTCCACCGGCAACAGCAAACAAGCACACAAGACGACAACCATTCCACCCCATCAACAACAGACAACTACAAACCCCTTCACACAAATTACAATAAGCGGAGATAGTGAAGACAACCGAAGAAGCGAAGACAATGTCAAAGAGCTCTTGCTTCATGCTCTGAAATGGACAACCCTTCCACCCCAGCAACAGCAAACAAACACAAGTAAAGGAAGGCCAAAAGCGAGACCATAGCCGAGGGAACCTTACCCAACCTCCCCTGCTCAAAGTAATGCCATAGTTTTAGTTGAGAGAGCTTTGCCGGACCTCCCCTCAAGAGCCAACCAACACTCTCACCCAAATGAAATAAATAGGAGATAGTGAAAGACACGCACAGAAGTGAAACCAATGTCAAAGAGCTCTTGCTTCATGCTCTTAATGGGACAACCCTTCCACCCCAGCAACAAACGACAAACACATGTAAAGGAAGGCCAAAAGTAAGACCATAGCCGAGGGAACCTTGCCCAACCTCCCCTGCTCAAAGTAATGTCAAAGTTTAACTTGAGAGAGCTTTGCCGGACCTCCCTTCAAGAGCCAAGCCTTCCACCCAAATGCAAACAATAGGAGAAAGAGACAGAGAAAGAGAAAGACAACAAAGAAGTGAACACAATGTCAATGAGCTCTTGCTTCATGCTCCCTTTGGAACAACCTTTCCAAGTAGATAGACAGATACAACACCACTGGTCAAGAGACAACCCTGTCATCCCTGTAAGAATAGAGGAAGAGGAAGGCTACATAGAAAACACTGAAACAAGATGGAGGACACAACGTGCAAAGGGGAAAAACATGATTTTCTGAAGATACTTGGCCCATCTTGGCCCTAGATTGGCTGAAGAGCACACGCTTCCACCCCATCAACAAATAGATAAACAGATGCTAAGCAGGAGAAGTGAGAGAAGTGAAGGAAGCGGGGGGGCACTAAAGCCCAAACTTCTGAAAAGAGCCTGAGCCAGCCCTCCCACCCGTGCATGATAAGAAGATCTGATGACAGAGAGCCAGAAACGGTTAAGCTTTTGCCTCGCCCCTCCTGAAGGGACAGCCCTCCCACCGGCAACAGCAAACAAGCACACAAGACGACAACCATTCCACCCCATCAACAACAGACAACTACAAACCCCTTCACACAAATTACAATAAGCGGAGATAGTGAAGACAACCGAAGAAGTGAAAACAATGTCAAAGAGCTCTTGCTTCATGCTCTTAATGGAGCAACCCTTCCACCCCAGCAACAGCAGACAAACACATGTAGAGGAAGGCCAAAAGTAAGACCATAGCCGAGAGAACCTTTGCCGAACCTCCCCTCAAGAGCCAACCCTTTCACCCAAATGAAATCAATAGGGGAGAGAGAGAGAGAGACAAAAAGAGAAAGACAACCAATGAAGTGAAAACAATGTCAATGAGCTCTTGCTTCATGCTCCCTATTGGACAACCCTTCCAACCCAGCGACTACAGACAAACACAAGTACAGGAAAACTAAAATTAAAAACGTGCCTCAAGGATCTTAAAGGGAGGGCCATAGCTGAGAGAACCTTACCCAACCTCCCCTTAAGAGCCAACTGTTTCCCATCAACAACAATTAGATAAATAGATATAGATACAACACCAGTGGTCAAGAGACAACCCTTTCATCCCTGTAAGAATAGAGGAAGAGGAAGGTTACATAGGAAAATAATGAAATAAGATGGAAAACACAGCGTACAAAGGGGAAAACATGATTTTCTGAAGATACTTGGCGCCTAGATTGGCAGAAGAGCACGCGCTTCCGCCCCATGAACAAATAGATAAAGATACCCCAAGAAGGAGAAGTGAGAGAAGTGAAGGGAGGGGGGGCACTGGAGCCCAACCTTCTGAAAAGAGCCTGAGCCAGACCTTGCACCCGGGCAACAGCAAACAAGTACACAAGACGACAACCCTTCCACCCCAGCAGCAACAGACAACTACAAACCCGTTCGCCCAAGTTACAACAAGAGGAGATAATGAAAGGCATCCAAAGAAGTGAAATCAATGTCAAAGAGCTCTTGCTTCATGCTCTGAATGGGACAACCTTTCCACCCCAGCAGCAAACGACAAACACATGTAAAGGAAGGCCAGAAGTAAGACTATAACTGAGGGAACCTTGCCCAACCTCCCCTGCTCAAAGTGATGTCATAGTTTAAGTTGAGAGAGCTTTGCCAGACCTCCCCTCAAGAGCCAACCCTTTCACCCAAATGAAATCAATAGGAGAGAGAGAGAGAGAGACAAAAGAGAAAGACAACCAATGAAGTGAAAACAATGTCAATGAGCTCTTGCTTCATGCTCCCTATTGGACAACCCTTCCAACCCAGCGACTACAGACAAACACAAGTACAGGAAAATTAAAATGCAAAACGTGCTTCAAGGATCTTAAAGGGAGGGCCATAGCTGAGAGGACCTTACCCAACCTCCCCTTCAGAGCCCACTGTTTCCCATCAACAACAATTAGATAAATAGATACAACACCAGTGGTCAAGAGACAACCCTTTCATCCCTGTAAGAATAGAGGAAGAGGAAGGCTACATAGGAAATAATGACATAAGATGGAAAACACAGCGTACAAAGGGGAAAACATGATTTTCTGAAGATACTTGGCGCCTAGATTGGCAGAAGAGCACGCGCTTCCGCCCCATGAACAAATAGATGAAGATACGCCAAGAAGGAGAAGTGAGAGAAGTGAAGGGAGGGGGGGCACTGGAGCCCAACCTTCTGAAAAGAGCCTGAGCCAGACCTTGCACCCGGGCAACAGCAAACAAGTACACAAGACGACAACCCTTCCACCCCAGCAGCAACAGACAACTACAAACCCGTTCGCCCAAATTACAACAAGAGGAGATAGTGAAGACAACCGAAGAAGTGAAATCAATGTCAAAGAGCTCTTGCTTCATGCTCTTAATGGGACAATCTTTCCACCCCAGCAGCAAACGACAAACACATGTAAAGGAAGGCCAAAAAGTAAGACCATAGCCGAGGGAACCTTGCCCAAGATCATAGTTGAGAGCGCGTGTGGACATATGAACGTAGGAACGAAATAAACCCAAAAGGTCCTCTCCACATATATATATATATTCATTATTATTATTGTTATTATTAGTAGTAGTAGTAGTAGTATTGTTATATATATATATATATATGTGTATACACAGAGAGATGTAGAGATATAGACTACACCGGACAAACACAATCACAGCGAAGCTTCATCGTCTGATCTGCAAGTTGAAAACAGCTTTGAAACAGCTGCTTCAAGTTTGGTGAAGTGTGCTTTCCTGATACATCTGATGCTGTAGATTTCAATCAATGATGGATAAAGACTCTCAGTGCATTGCAAGAGTTTGTTCTTTTCATTTTTCCTGCGGAGCAGTGGCTAAATCACACGCCAGGCCGCTAGTCAGCCGGTTATCCGGTACACTTCGGCACACGCGGCTTCAACTTTGGAAATGGGAAAATCGAATGGCTCTAAAATAAAGAATTCAGATGAACTATTCCGAACTACCTTAGGCCTTGGCATCCTCAGCAGCCATGTGCTTGATCAGGTCCACCACACGGGAGGAGTAGCCCCACTCGTTGTCATACCAGCACACAACCTTCACGAAGGTAGGATCCAACATGATGCCGGCCTTGGCATCGAAGGTGCAGGAGATTGGGCAGGTCTCGAAGTCAGTGGACACCAATGCCTCGTCGGTGTAGCCAAGGAAGCCCTTCATGTCACCCTCAGATCGCTTCTTCATCTCAGCGCAAATCTCCTCGTAGGTGGTCTCCTGCTCCAACTCAACGGTGAGATCCACAACGGACACATCAATGGTTGGCACACGCAGGGCCATGCCGGTCAGCTTGCCCTTCACTTCAGGGATCACCTTGGCCACAGCCTTGGCAGCACCCGTGGAGGATGGGATGATGTTTCCAGGGCCAGCACGGCCACCACGCCAGTCCTTCTTGGAGGTGCCATCCACAGTGGGCTGAGATGCAGTCATGGCATGGCAGGTGGTCATGAGACCACGCTTGATGCCCCACTTCTCTTGCAGCACACGCACAGCTGGGGCCAAGCCGTTGGTGGTGCAGGAGGCGCAGGACACGCACTCCATGGATGGCTCGTAGGTGTCCTCGTTCACGCCCATCACAATGGTGTGAGAGTCATCCTTGGCAGGAGCAGAGAAGATCACCTTCTTTGCGCCAGCCTTCAAGTGGCCCTGAACCTTCTCAGTGGTCAGGAACACACCAGTGGATTCGCAAACATACTCTGCACCATGCTCACCAAAAGGGATCTCAGCTGGGTCACGGGTGTGGGACAAAGCAATCTTCTGGCCATCAACCACCAGGGAGTCGCCATCTACCTCCACGGTTCCATCATACTTGCCGTGGATAGTGTCATATTTCATCATGTAGGCTAGGTAGTCAGAGTCATAGCTGGCGTTGATCAACTTCAGCTCAGTCTCTGGGTCCTTCATGGCAATGCGGGCCACCTGACGGCCAATGCGGCCGAAGCCGTTGATTCCAACGCCCACAGCCTGCATGGAAGTGCGGTTCTTGCCTGCACGCCTGCCAGCAACACCAGCCACAGCCAGGCCAGCCACTGCACCCACACCAGCCATGGCACCCATGGACTGGGATGATTGGGAGGACTTGGCATAGCCGGAAGAACGGAGACCAGTCCTGGCCTCCTGTGCAACTGGGCCACTTGCAACAAAGGCGCTGCTCAGGGCAGTGGTGGCCACGGCACCGCTGACGAGCATAGCCACGTTCTCCACAGTGGAAGGCATGGTTTCTTAAGTGAGAAGCGAGGAAACTGTCAAAACTGAGCCAAGTACTATGTCAAAAATATTCAAAAACATTGTCGACTCGTTATTTTCAAATGGTTGATTTTGAAGACCTTTCATTCGCTTTCTAGCTCAAAGAACCCAAGTTGGCCCCGCCTTCTGCTGAAAATAGCCTCCGGTCTGCCCCGCAGTGTTCAAGACCTGCTTTCGGTCATCCCGAGTTATGCTGATTCGTAACGGAGCTTCCAACAATGTTTTTGGTCTCATGTTGTCTGGGGAATGCGGTATTTTTTGTGCGGTAAGATTCCAAAACCATGTAGATTCTATCCCCAATGATCGACCATCCCATTGGGGGTTTAGTCGGTTGGGTCTGCCACATGATCCCCTTCGAAACAGGATGGAAACTTTGAAAATCTTCCAGACCAGACCAACCGTTGTTAGATACGTAGAGAACCTCAACTGTACAATTTAGAACAAACATCTAGATTCGCTAAGACCAGTGCATGTTTTCATTGGGTCCGGGTTCATGTTGAAGTTAATCATAGTTGACATCATTGCTAAGTGGAAAATAACATAATCATACTTGCAGCTGCCAAAACTTGTAGTGCACACCAGATCTTCTGCAAAACAAAGTGATGCAAAATTCAAGGTGTGAGATTTGGATGTCCTTCACAATGTGACATGGATGACCCTTCTAAGCAAAGAATTTGACTAGGCAATCTGGTAAGATCTGTGTAAATCATTGGAAGTCCACGGAAATTCAACACATAGAGAATCCTTCTAACTCAACAACATAGTTACGTTACTCAAGTGCCAAACGTCAAACCGTTTAGCTCCTCCGCAGTGGGGGTTCGCAAAATTCATCGGGTGGTTGCTCGTCCTTTGGCATCCACTCATCGAAAACAAGCCATCCGACCTCCAACGAAAAAATGCATGGTTTTCGGGGGGATGCTTGGTCAATGTTCAACCCAAAATCTGGGACTTCAAGATTTATATAGATTTACAGTAAGCTATTATTTCTTACCAGTATTTCTGGTATTTACCAATGATATTTCAGATCTTTTCAGTTGGTCAAGAATTTCAGTTGGTCAGCCACCCCCGAACCAATCAACACCAGGCCTGCGGCCAGCGCCTGCCGCAAAGCTGCGCTGATGACCCCGGGGAACATATGGAGCCATTGCTGATTGGTTCGGGGGTCAAAAAAAAAGGTTTATTTGGGACTATGATCTAGTGCATAGTTGGGAATTCCATGGAATTTCACGATTATTGACAACCTATCCCACAGATTGTTTCGCTTCGCGCCATTTGTTTCCAGGACAACATGTTTGACTTTGCTTCCAGGTTTCCACAAAAGATAGAAAAGAATTTCACCAAAAAAAAAACTGGACCAAGTCTTCCACCTTTGGGCGTTAAAAAAAGCTTCCCGAGCTTCCCAGGTGCCCTTGGCAGCCTTGGCATGGGTCAAAATTTGAGGCCCAAGTTCCGATCTGCTTATGACTAACAGTTCGCCATGGAAAGATCCACCATGCTATTTTCATAGGTAAACCATCTATTTCGATTAGGGCCATCTATACCATGGCTATGTTAAATAACCAGAGGGTACATCTGGTTACCAAAGTGTTTGTCCACCTAAAAGTAAGGCCCATCTGGATCCATAGATATTGGTTACTCTTAGAGTTGATAAAAACCCATGTTTCGTACAAAACAAACACCCATGTGTCATCATTTAAAAAAAACAACAACAACAACAACAACAACAACAACAACAACAACAGTTGTTGGGACAGTCTGTTGCCATTTCTTTTGGGTTGTCTTGCCATTCTTAACTCGATGGGAACATTCAACAAAGGTGTCCCAATTTGGGGCGACAGATTTGTCATTTGTATCCCATCTGTTTGTTGGTGATATATCCCTTTTTTTTGCGCTCCATAGATCTCCATAGCAACTCATTTTGGGATGGTTAGATTCTACAAGTAACACTCAGTGAATGATGGTCGTCCCCCATCTTTGAGCTTGAGCCCCATGTTCTGTAGCACTCCGAAAGATCGTATCCCATCCCAGGAAATACGGGTGAATAATTAAGTCATTGTTTCCTGTTGTTGCTTGTTAGAATCCCTGTTAAGCTTGGTGGTTTTCAGAATCACCCACTAGTAAAACAACAACAACCAGCTGGTGGGTACGTTTTATGGCTCACCTGAGCCTGATCCCAAGAATGTGGCTTAGGAAGCATGGGATTTCAACCAACACAAGATCTGAAGTGACAATCTACCAACAAGAGGTTTTTGACAATGACTCGGTTTCACTTGGGACCTCACCATATACAATAAACCATGAAAACCATTCACCGGATTTGGGTGCACCCTATTTTCAGACAAACTCATAGAGCTTTATAGTTACAGCATGTTACAGCGTATGTTGGGATGTAAAATTCATTGAGATGCCTCAAGGTTTGCATATATCTCCTCATATATATATATATATCCTCATTTGCCTCAGATTCAATTGATAGAGGGAACTCATGGGTTACATCAACAGAGCCTCGGAATGGGCCGTGCAAGATGATACATGGCTCCTCCTATGGCGGTCAGTATGCATTTGCCAAGAATTCCCATGGATCCTACTGAAATAATATGTACCCTGCAGTAATCAAACATTGCAAAGGACAAATCACCACAAGAGAAAAAGTCCTGAAAGTCAAACAT